TGGAAACGACATTATTGCTCCATGGTTGAAATGATTGGAATAAATATCAATTTTATATAAAARAATATTTTTATATTTTTAAGAGAATACTTGATGTGTTTTGTAGAGTATAAATGTATTTGAATATATTTCCWTTTTTATAGCGACGCTGTTTTCTCGAGCAATTGTACGTGGATTTACTAAAATCTCTTCTTTAATTTAAACGGTTTTTCCATTTTCCTATGAGTAAAAAATTGAAAAAATCCCTCTTTACAGAGGCGTGTATAATCTTAATACTATATTTAAATTCAACTGATTGAAGCCAAATTGGTTTGTTAGCTTATTTAATAAAGAYRCTTTAACGATTTCACGTCATTATTCTATTCTACGAATGGATTTAGTTTTATCAACTACGCCTAAACAGTCTCTCCCATGGTTCCCTGCGCCGTCTTGAAAAGTAACCTGGCCTTCGAATTTAAGCGAGACAAAACATTACCAAATTTAATGCTTTTTCTAAAAATAATGTAAATGTGTTGAAAAGCTATAAAAAAGTGAATAAAATATGTGAATGTCAAGTCGCATAAATTCAGCGACGAGTAGGCTCAGAAAAATTGGCAAATTCAAAATCGAAATAACATAAAAATCGAAATAACATAATCACAGAAGTGTGTGCATCGTACTGCGATATCAAACGATATCTACGATTTTAAAAACAACTGTGACAGAATTATAAATACAAAGTGAAAGGAAGTATAGGTGTATTTCTGTCGACAGTTGGTTTAGTAATATATAGTTTTCTCAGTTCAAGTTACCGCTGTGCTGACCCAATACCACTAGCTAAACTATCCTGAAGGAAGTGAATAAAGCTTGTCGCTTGTCATTCTTTCAACTCCGTAAGAACTTACTTAAGGTAATTTTTCTTTGAAATAAACTCATAATTGACCAAAATTTACAAAGGAAACCAGTTTTAGTTAATTTGAAATCAGACGCCATCTTGGATGATAAAAGTTATCATCCAAGATGGCGTCCCCATACATATTAACCAAATTTTTCAAATCTTTATTCGCTTATATCTTCATCGAAAAGTAAGCTACAGGACTAAAAGCTCGTATTCTAGATAATCTGAGTATGCTCTTTGTGACTTGCTAATTGGTTTTTGAAAATAACGAATAATAACGAATGATAAATTTTCACTGCGGGGGTTGCAACCCAAGAATAGTATTAACTATGATGGCACAGGTACGGTAACCTTTCACAATGTCACCCTGAAAGTGCTTTGAAGAATAGTATGTGCAGTGGACGAAATGACTTAAATTGTTGACGTATCCATGGGCTCACCCATGTGAGAACGGTCTACCTTCATATACCAATCTCCTGCTTTTTCCTCGTGCTCTTTTGCCTCCTTTTCTYGCCCTAAGGATTTCAACACGCGAGCTATTTCCACGTGATTCTTTGCCGTTTCTTTAGGTGTGAATGCAAGATCTTGGTGCATTTTAAGTGCTTCAAACAAGTAAGAAAGCGCTTCTTYAAGTTTTGACTTCTTGTCGGCAGGATCAGYTTGACCCGCTTGCGCTGCAAGAAACAAACACGTCTGATCAACGTCTATCCTTAATGAACATTGTATAACGGACAGAAGACAGGAGACCTGAATAATAATAAATCGAACAGCTAAAAGATGCGTGGATTTAAAAATAGTATCTTTGCATATTCTGACTACCAAACTGCCATTGTAATGGCGCAATAAATGGAACGAAATTAACATCTTTCTTATGGCATTTGCCAGTGATGGATACAGCAGCTGGATACCGGGACTTGTGCATCAACCGTTCTTCTCTCCCCGTAATGCAGCGATTTGAACAAATGGCAAAAATCAAAAAAAATGATGATTTGTACATAGGCTTACCTTGTTCTCGTAAGATACGGCCCATATCAAATAGAGAGCGAGCAGTTTCAGAATGTTCGCCCAACAATCGTCTTCTGTGTGACAGAGCCTTTTTGCATGCCTCGAGGGCCTTTTCGTACGAACCGAGTACAAGGTAGTCATGGCCCAAATGGCTGAGCGCACTGGCTGTGAAGGGATGACAGCCAAGATGCTCTACATAAATCGGTAGGACTTTGGTTATTCTTATTTGAATGGCTTTTTCATTCGAATCATTGTTGTAACTGTAGGCACCTGYWAAATAGTAAGCCAAATCAGCCAGGTAGCCATGGTTGGAGCACAGAAWCAAATGTCTTCTTAGAGGAGAAGAACAAACAAAATTTGAAGTGAAGGACAGAAAACATGACAAATATGACGTGCAAGCCTTTGGATGAAAACGTTACTTTTGGAGGCTCCCGTCAAATTCCCTAGCTATACCCTGTTTATACCAAGTCAATTTTGTATAAATTTGTATAAATCTCTGACTACAACAGTAAACAAAATATATGAAATCTCCCTAGCATTTTCACAAAATAGTACTATACTTTCGTACGGGATATGCTATACACATTTTAATTAATGTTGTTTAGGAGTACGGATCATGTTTGTGCCTATGGAGACCCAACATTGTTGAGACTCAACTCAAAATGTTTCTTGCAAGAGTCTCATTCATTTTTGTCCATCGTTCTCTTTGAAAGGCTATCGATTTTTTCTTCATCATTTCACGTACCATAATGATCATGTCAGACTCACAGGTTTCGTCAAAAATGGGTGGTACAATGTATTGSAAAATGAGTAAATCGGTAGTGAACTTACTTGCAAGATCGTTGTAACCCACCGCCACCATAACGCGATCTTTCGTGAATTTTGATTTCTTGAACACTTTCTCGCGTATTTYAATCCCGTTTTCGACGAATTCCAATCCTTCATCCTTAAGTCCTAGACGAACCAAACACTTGCCATACTTKAGAAGGAATTGAGTTTGGGMTCCCTTGGWCATGATCTTGCAATTAGACACAAGTTYTAGCTGTTTCTTATAACTAGAAATCGTCTTAGCGTTGCTGCATAATSCCTTCAGAACTTCATCAAAGCACCACTTTGCTTGATCCAGAGCAATTGGACATAATTGGGGCACACAGAGACAACCYAAAATGCATGTAACCCCGCCATAGGTTAGACATTCGACGTATTGCTTCTTTGTTTCTTTTTTCTTTGAATCTATGCCTTCTTCATCTCGACAAAACCTTAGAATCGTACGCAGGATGGTTTTCAATAAACTTCTTTCCATGACCTTGATGTTGATCAAGTAACATTCCATGAACGATTCAATGATGTAGCACTTGAGGTTCTTCATTTCAGGATCTTTGGGGAATCTATCAGACATGAACCAATTTGCTATTTCTCTTAGATTTGCCTCTTGTTCTCTGAATTTACGGATGGCATCTGCACTGCAAGTGCTGAAGAAATCATTTTCAATCTTTAAGGTGCAGTCAAATGTGTAACACACAAACTGTGTGATCGCAGCCTTGTACGTAGCGTCAAAATCGGTGGAGTCAGYTCCAGAAGAGGTCGGTGGTTCGTGTGTTGCTTTATAGATTGCAAACGATCTCATGGCAGGGCTCAAGTAGTACGCCTTTCKCTCTTGGTTATATGACAGGAAGCTGAAGTTCATCAAATCAATCAACCCTCCCTTAACTTCCTTTTTGAATATCGATGCAGCCTTGTCAAGTGTGAAGAATCCTGCAGGGAACACTGAAATCATCATAAGAACATTTTGTGAAATGCTGTCAAGGCGATCAAAGCAAATGTCAAGGCAGCGATAAAAACGTTCATTTGGACTCAGTCTACTCTTACACAACATCTTAAGTTGTTGCTCAGGTGTACTAGAAGCAAGATGATCTGCACATGTTTCAATTCCAACTCTTTTGACAATGACCACTGCGTTAAGAAGAAGTTGCGGTATACCGCAACAGCATTCTAGGATGGAGTTTAAAAGACCACTTGGGATACTGGATCTTTCGATTCCGTGTACTTCTGACTCACACATATTTAAAAAAAGCTCTTTTGAATCGGACCATGTCAGTGGCAGCAATTGGATATCTTTGGTGAGAACGSTRGCAGAGARAWACTCCCAGGTTGTAGCAAGAATTGTCAAGTTTGAGGTAAATCTCAACACATCTTCGATAAACTTTTGTAATTCCTCCTTTCTGGTAGTATTTTTCCAGGGAAAATGTTTTGGATTTCTGTAAGTTGGATCACTCTCACGACAAGCTGCACAGCCGTGATTCTTGCCGAATGGAACAATGCCACTCTCGTAAGTCATAAGTGGGCCGGTGGTTGATTTTCCAGGAGTGCTGGGCTTCTCTGTGGTACTTGTGCTGCTGTCCATACTGTCATTTCTCRTATCGTCAGCATGGAAGGAGTGATCRAAGTTATCCAAAATAAGAAGGCATTTTCTCTTGACAACTTTGAATAGCTCCTGTACTTTTTCTCTTTCGCCAAATGATGGAGCTGGAATTCCACAAGTTKTCAAGATCTTGATAGCGAGGTCTTCGACGGTTAAGATATCATCAGAAGACACATAAATGCATGCGTAATCATGTTCTATTTTTATGAGTTGATAGGCTGTTTCAACTGCTAGTCTTTCCTTCCCGTATCCTGTGGCAGCATGGAGTACAATCAAGCGATGATTCCCACTTAAAATCTCATCAACCAATTCTTTCTGTTTATYTGCGCGCCCAATCATTTTTGTGGTTGGCTTACAGGGTAAACCAAAGCTTTTCGAACTATCCATATGAATGTTATCTATCGAAAAAGGAACGATCATTTATATCARTAAATATGAATGCCTGAGACAAGTCAGTATACTTTGTTTCTGTTAGTACATAAGTTTACTCAATTGATTCAACTGAATGACAAGCCAGCCTTCATTGAGAATGAATTGTGACTATAAATTATTACCTTTTGCTGTAGTTGTTTCTTGTACCGGAGAAGGAGATTTTGGGCTTCCTGGCTYATCACAAGAAGGTTCTAAAAAAGAAATTTTTATAAATATTTCACAAATTATCTTCAGACCTTGGTCAGAAGTGAGCTACCCTGATTGGTCTCCAAAGCAGGATTTTAAAATCGTAGTCCAACATAGCCAACCAGTATTGTTGAAAATCTCACACTACGTACTTACCAACATTATAGTGCTTACTCAGGATTTTCGCAGCATCATTACGACCAATTTCTCTACATTTTTGAATTAGCTCATTAACAGTGACTTCTGGCTTGTTTGCAGTAAGCCATTCTATGACTTTCTTAGTTGGGCTATGGATTTCATGCTGATGTGGTGGCTCCAGCTTGGAAATGATATCTGGATCATCCATGTACTGGTCAGATAGAAAACGACTTGCAAGCCCCTTCCAGCCTTCCACACCTGGAGAATCTTTATTTAACCTCCTGGACATTCTATCAAGAACTTTTGAGTCAAGTTTGAAAATGTCTTTAGCATCTTTGGAATCAAATTCTGCAATGACAGTATGATTTTTTAGGTGTCTCTGGACGTTTACCTCCAAGCCTTTGCATGATACATGTCAAAAATCAAGACATAACTCATAAATCTGATCAGCCTGACAGATTAAAATAACAGATTGACTGATTCGTTTGATATGGATGACTTAGTGGCCACTGCATACATTATTTCCGACAGTCTGAGCTTTCGCCGTTGAATCAGTGCAACACGAAAGAAAAAACGACGTCAGTTGGAAAAATCACAAATACAAATTTTTTATATATCTATATATCAACTTACCTAATGATTGTGATATTTCTTTGAGTTCTTCAAGAATATCCCACCTATTCATCTGCGTCAGGTAATCAATTACTACACTTGCTTTGACACTTCGTGCACCGGTTGTATAAAGACATCTAAACAACTTTTCAGTTGGATTGCAGGTAGGGTCCTTTTCCATTTGCTGTAATATGTCACGGGGTATTCCAATCTCAAGACCAACGTCCAACCACGTACATATTGATGGTGAAGCCGAATCAAGCTTAGATGCAATCTTATCCATGATGTTGGATGTGGAATTGGTGATAGCTTCTGACACCTTACATTCATTGCTTAAGTCTGAATCTAAGAATTAATAAACAYMTATCAGTCASTGTATGTAGTCATAGRTTTGYTAAGACKGYGTGAACACATGCACATTTTCAGATTATTGATTGAAATAYGTTGTTTGAAAAATATATWTMAAAAAAATCGCTWAACGATTTTCGCACTATCACGCACCTCTTAATWTTGAGTATCTATTWAAGGATGTGGTTAAACTTGTCACATTTTATTTAGAGGCGTTTAGTTCGAGATATGAAATCAGATTTTTTGTTKTTGTTGCTYTSGCAAAGTTTGGAAGGCTTTTCCCATTTCAACATTCCCTTTTTGGCAGACTTTTAATATAAGCTTGAATGGTTAATGCTACCTTTAAGCATTTTGTCCAAGTCATGCCGAGCTCTCTCCGGATTTCTTGTTAAGACAGTGCAAAGATCGCCAATAGTCATATGAGGCTTAGTTGTCTCCAGGTATTTAMACAACTTTATTGTCGCACTGGAAGATTCCATACACAGACTGCATACATGTATTACATCGGCAGGAACATTCAGAGAGTCGGCAAAGTGTTGCCAGCCTTTAATAGCTTTGGTTTGGTGATCCATGCATCTCGAAAATTCATCCAGAGCTGTAGTGAAGTCACTGAAGTCTCTAACATTATAAGTTCTTGGACCGAGGGACAAATGCCGACCTGATTTATAAAAGACATGTTTTACAAAATAATTTACCACCAATTAAAATATGAAATGAAAAAAAAANTTTCTAGAACTCATTAATAATTCATGAGCTATTAGTCCAATCAGAATCCAACTATTGGGTCACATGATGGACCTTTATATCCCGATAAAGCACTGATGTTTTATTAATCAGTTCTATATCAGAGATATAGAACTGATGTTTTATTAATCAGTTCTATATCAGATATAAAGAACTGATGTTGAAGGTCATCAGCGCTTTATCGCAACCCAACACTAGCAAAGGTCTCAGTTTTAATGTCGCATCATAGACCTTTGCTAGGTTTTAAATCAGTTTGAATCAATGTGCAGATATGCAGTATAGCATAGACTAGCTGTTCTTACGTGTGGGATCAAAATTCTTTCATTTGTGACAAATGCACATGCTCAGTAGAAGTTTAACATGCATAATCTCTGTTTTCGCATTTTTTAGCTTTTTTCTAAAATGATAACAATTTCTGGATGTTGGAGTTCTAGAAGTAGTATAAAAAACTCGCAGTCGTGCTTTATCGGGGATATATATATCCCGATAAAGCACTCCTGCTCGTTTTTTAAACACTACTTAAAACACTCGAGATCGTGTTTTATCAGGTATAAAGATTCTCGCCTTCGGCTCGAATCTTTACTACCTGATAAAACACTCTCTCTATACTTAAAATTAAAGTAGATATATTATTTATATTCAATCATTCAAAAAAGTTGGTTTTGTACGAAGGATGCTAGTAGCTGTCCTTCAAGTACCTCACAGGTGATCAAGGAATGGCAGTGGCTGTTCATGGTAATTAATATAAGACAAAGAGAAATAGAAAAGAACTGAGGAAAATATGAAATATAGTAAGAACATACAAAATTGTAGTAAGATAATACACCCCTCCCCCCCACCCCATAATACTAATATTCAATTACAATATTCATAATACTCATACTCAATTTCACGTGATTTTCCTGTTTCTTGCCCCTTTTTTAAACATATTTACTGGGCCACAAATGGGTATTCTGTGAGTATTCTGTGGCAGACTGAAGGTTAGGATATCTTTAATTTCAGGGCTTTATAGTACCTTTAAGTAGTCTGGACAAATCAAATCTTGCTCTCTGCTTATTTCTTGTTAGGACAGCATTTAGATCACTAACAGTCATATTTGGGTGTGTGAGGCTCAGATATTGAAACAGCCTTATTGTTGGACTATACTCCGAGTACAGTTTACAAATACGTAATACATCTGCAGGAACACCTAGACCAAATGCAAAGAGCTCCCAGTTTTTGATATCTTTGAACTGTGGATCCATGCATTTTGAAAATTCACCAAGTGCTGCAACATTGTTATAAAAATCTGCCACATTTCTTGAAGCACCTACATTAAGGAAAAGACATTGATACAGAATAATACTCTTACTTAGTTTGAGGCTTAAGTATATATCTGAAGAATTATAAATATAGCTTGAGAGCTAATGTGTGAACTTAAGTAAGTATTCAAAGCCCTTTATAATTAATAACAATTTTTGTAGAATAGAATGAGTAATTGACAATTACAATAATCAACTTGAGAGTGTTTTATAAGGCCGTTTTCATGTCATTTTTGCTGGTTTCTTACTAAAACAGATCGCAAATCATTCGAATACTTTGAAATTATGTTTATTGAAGTTTATCCGCACAATCTGTGAGCAATTTTATGCCAAATTCAGTTTTTATATTCGACGTGCATCCCTACATTTGTTATAGAAATTTTGGTCGCTAACAAAATTTCTTCAATTCCCGATGTGTCTTTTTTCATATCATTTGCTATCTACGTAAGTACTACTAGACGTGTGTTTGCGTGGAATTCTTTTGGCACAAAGCATGGTTAAAGACCTTCAAGAGTATCTCGTCAAGTATCATTTTGATACACAAAATACACTGATAAATTACGTAATTATGAATTCCAAAAACAGTTACTGCTATGATTATTTGCTAACCGTAAAAAGACAACTTTAAAAAGTATTAATTTTGGAGTCATTTGCTCGGGTTCTTGACATCACTCGTCTCATTTTCATCCTGCGCACCATTCCAGCAGTTTATACAAGAAATATTGAAAACACTTAAGGATCGCTACACAAACAGCATACTCCACTAACCTTCCATCATTGTAAATCACCTAATAAACTAAAAAAGCCATTTTGAGGTTGCTGAATTTTTACATCGCCACCATTCCACGAATCCGAGTTCCAAGAAGCCATCAAAACGTTTTACTTTGAATCGAGAAATTTTTGAAACATTTGATGGCAGTTTTACAATCATGTCATAAAAGACTTTTACAGCAAGTTTGCTTCTTGCTTAAAACTGTATCCGATGAGCTGTTCATTAACAGTAAAGTCAGTCAGCTTCAGTAGAAAGTGTTGACATTCGCAAACACCATTCGAGTTGTCTTCTGGGGAATAGTCAGTGGTGCAACACGGAAGTAGTCCCACCACAGGAACCCCACTCTTCAACCATAACATGAATTGACGAATACCAATCTAAGGTTCATCCATCTTCTGAGTTCAAATACACAGTCAATATTCCATTTTTTTTAACCTTCCGGCCAATTTATTAAGAAATGAATAAAATGCGTATTCTACTTAGTAGCCTGATTTCCAGACGGGACCTGGATCCGACGCTAAAGCTTTCGTCGGTCCCAGGCCCGTATGAAAAATCAGACAGTATTCTAGAAGACTAGCAGTAATATTTACAATGTACTCTAACTTCGATTATATGAAAGTTCTTTTTCTAAGAAAAAATTCTAGAACAACTGGTGCAGAGTAACCATGATATCATGTGATTTTCACATACGAAGATATCGCTTCTTGCGAGTGATAAATAAATAAATAAATAAATAAATTGGTGGTAGCTAATCGTCCATCCTTGCAGCCCGAGTGCTGAATTACGAAGGACGCAGCTCACGTGATCGAGTCGGTTATGCGGTATACGAGGGCGCTATCATTACGAGGACAATCACATAATTACAACACACACACAAAGCAGCCAACCAACCGACCCATATCTGATCACGGAGCACACCTAGGATCGAAATGTTCCGTTTTTGCTGAGGGAGGAAAAACCGGAGAACTCGGAGAAAAAACCCTCGAAACAAGGGAGAGAACGGAAACAAACTCAAGCCACATATGATCCCAAGTCCGAATCGAACCCGGGGCCACAGCGGTGACAGGCCGACGCTCTCACC